GTACTGCTATTCGCTCTTGTTTACAAATGGTCTGACTCCACTATACATTGTAACTACAATTCAATAAAACTGCAGTTAAGATTCTAGCTCTTAAAAGCCTGTGTCACATACTTTTCAGTGTATTCTTATGCATTCAAATTACTTGCAAGCATCCTAGGTCTTTCTTTCATTTATTCTGTGTTAATTCTTGTATTTCATTTGCTTTACACAGAGACAAAATAACTTTATAGAAAATACTTTATTAATCTGTTTCTGTTTGCCTAGTATTTCTGCAGAGCCTTGTATTTCTAGTCAATCCAGAACTTGTCTGGAGACAGCTTCATGCTTACTGTGGATGTTAACAAACTGAAAACTAAAAGTTCTCCAGTAAGGAACTATTTGTTATGGTGTTCTATGAAACTACTGTTGCTTTACTTGCTAGGCTGTAGGCACACAGCCCTAACGTCAACTGACTCAGCTCAAGAGAGTCACTTCCTTCAACTAAGCTCCTGTTGGTAATGAGAGTCCCCAGCTGTCTTTGTTCTAGGAATTCATGATAGAATTTGTAATTTAGCATATGTGGGATGTTACTCCCCAATTTATTTTGACTAAAATTGATTGAATCAACAACAACAATTTGGGATCAGCCAGTGTAAGATCTTCTTCATTTAACTTGACCTTAAAATATAGCAGGATTTACTTGGTACCATGTGGCCTCAGATCCTCGGAGATTCTAGGTCAAAAGATAAAAAACAATTTCTTCCTTCCAGCACACTTTCATTCTGGACTTTTCTCATTCACTTCAGTCTCCTTTCCTGAAGTGTGGCTTGACCAATGATTTAACTGAGAAATTTATTTTAGATACTCCTCCAGAAGGGTAAAACACCAGTTCTGTACTATTTGAAGCTCCTACCAGTAAAAATGCCAGAGACTTCCTTCCTGGTAGCTGACTAGATCCTACATCTCAAACAGAAATTCTCCTTTTTTTTTTTTTTTTTTTTCTGGAGAATATTAGAAAGGTATTTCTAATCTAAGGTTTGTTATATTGAAGCATCTTTTCCTAAGTTCATAATCAGAGAAGGCACCTCTGGAATCTGTCAGCACAAAATCAGCTTTATCAGTGTGAAAAGCATCTAAATAAATGAGCATTAATCTGTTTATGGATAATAAGAAATACCAGTTATCCACCACCACCTTCACTCTGCTGTTGCATTCCGTTTTCTTAGATGTACACAGCATATGAGGTAATTTAGAACTGGAGTGTTCCCATTACCTGTTAAGATTAGATCTTTAGAGGCAATAAAGCCAGTATAATCTGAACTCTGAGGTCAAGGTAATTAGCTATGATACATTTTTTTTAAAATAGTGCAAGTGGTAAGTACATTATTATAGTATAGCTTACCAGGGGAAAACAAAGAAACAAACCTCCAACAGCCAAACCCAAACATTTATCTTGAATGGGAATAAAAATAAACAATAAATGCCTATAGCCTGGTGTCATATGACATGTTCCTTAGGACATATTTGGGACACTTAAACATAAAAATATCTAGACACAAGTTGAACACCTCACTTCAAATGACTGAAAACTCTTATGCATTTGTTTAATGCTGCACACTGAGTAATACAGGAAATACTCACTGAAATATTTCTAGCTTGGTAGACTCCCATGATGCAATCCAGTGTTAGTCACAAAGCGTGGAAGCAGTCAGGTATTAACAACCTCCCCAGTCCAGATGTTGGCTGGATTCAGTAGGAATAAAATTGGGCCTGCAAGATATTTGGTCAGTATTCCTTAACCTGCATTACTGCACGTTTTGCTCATTACCGTATTCTAGTTTCCTAGAACATCACTTCAGTAAACGTTTCCTAAAGAAAAGACTCACATTGTTTCTCTTGAATAGGGCTTACAGACACAAAAAGGCAGACTGAAGTGTCAGCTTGGCAGTGGGCTGGGAATAAGGTAGATGCCTCCCTAACCGGGAGCTGAGAGGCTCCAGGTTGCTTGTGTCTAGAGGTGTGTGGGTGTCCTGCCTAACCTACTGCAGAAGCATGGATGTAGGACTGGCATTAAAATGCTGCAGACATCAGCGTGTCTTCCTGTGCTTTCGATTGGAAGGGGATTGTTAGCACAATTGATAGCAGTGCAGTCCTGAGAAAGAAAAAGTAATAAATAGAGGAATCATGAGCAAAGAAATCTCTCACGTGTTGTCTGGTCACTTTCCTGATCAGAAAAACAGGATTTTATCCATTTCTTGTTAGCAGCCGGGATCTATGCATCCCATCACTGAGTACTTTTTCCTCTTGACAAAAAAGCTGGCACTTTAAGTTTATATATAAAGGAAATAATACCCATTTTTGTACTATCATGTGTAAAGTTGTTTTTATGACTTGCATAACATGATACTGGCTATATCCCAAGAGAAACCTGACCTAAATTTCTTGTTTTTCATCTCTACCTGATTTCACCAATATCCAGTTTAATTAGTCTTACATGCTGTAACTAGGCTAGAAATCTTCAGCAGACAAAAATTAGCTGCAGTCAGCTGATTTTTCTATGGACTGTTAATAGCATCCACAGATGCCAAGTAATTTGGCATCTACTAAAGTAATTATCTCCTCTTCAAATGAACTGCTTCCCACTAGGCTTTTTGAGTGTACAGATTCCTAGCTCCCATTTCTTCCATACGAATAGGATGCAGCAGGATTATATTAAAATAAATTAATTAAAAAATGCACTAAATCTTACTTCTAGTGGATGAAGATGTCTTATGCAGTTATGACAACCAAGCATAAATTTTGCAAAAAAAAAAAAAACAACCAGGAGGCCTTACACTGTAGTCACGAAATGAATGAGGTGCTTCTAAACTGAATGTGTTACTTGGGATGTCTTTAAAAAAAAACCCCAAAAACCAAAAACCAACTTAATGTGAGTGTTAGCAGTACCCACTGAGATTTTCATAGGGCACTACCATTACAGTGGACTTTGACACATAAGTCAGACCTAGAGAAAATACCATTGTATGGATTTCCCAGTTATGCCTGCCTTGTACAAGAGATTGTGAAAAACCTGGGCACCGATGTTGCAAATAGCCAACAGAAAGCTGAACTTTTTTTTTTTTTTTTTTTTTTTTTTTTAAAACTGTGCTATGACACGACAAAGTTTGTGATCTGCTGCCCTCCAATGGATACTTGCAGAGATTACGTCTAAAAGTGCAGAACTGCAGCAGCAGGAGCACTGTGCTTGAGACAGCCAAACTTCTAAAAAAGCACTAAGAGAATAAAATAATAAAGTATTAAAGTTTTTTTTGTGTACTATGTTTAGTATCAAAACCACAGTTAGATCTCCTTAATATTACCTTTTTTTGAGATTGCTTTTACATCCAAGTAGACATGTTCTAGTTCACCCTATGACAAATTTTTTTTCAATCTGCTCTTGTTATTTTATGATACATAAATACCTATAATGGTTATATACATAATATGACACATACAGTAATGATATCCAAGTAATAGATATTCCTTCTATGTCTGATTTAAAAAATACCTGCTAACATTCTGTCTGCTAACCCACCTCTTCATGACCGTTACTGGTACACTAAGAACTCTTCTAGTTCTAAAATTTAGAAATGAAACAAGTAAGACTTGCTATGAAAAGTATCTTATGCACAGTTCTTTAAGAAAATATTTCTCTTTATCAGATTTTAGAGCAAGGAGTGAATTTGAATTTGACATGTAATGTCCTGTTGCTTCTACCCCTGTAAGAATCTGATATGTGAGGTTCTTTTGGCTCTGCAGCAGTCTGAGATACTAGATGATAAGATCACAATGTTGCAAAACATGCTCATTCCTTCCTAGAATTCTGTATGGTGATGTTGATAGAAGGGAAACCGGTTTTGTCAAGATTTGTAAAAACAAGGTTGGGAAGGAGACATTTTAAGTGTAACTTTCCCTAAGTAAATAATCAAATTTAGTGACAATTAAAGGAAACTTTCTGTGATGTCATACACCTAATGGTAGCAAGACTCAAAGCAGTCAGGGTGCTCCCAAATGATGGTACCCACAGCTGTCTGAAGTTTCACTTTCCAGTGACTTCAGCTCTCATTTAATAGTGGGGTAGCTTCCGTGTGCGTGGAAGCTTAGCAACGTAAATCCTGTGAATTCATGGGACACTTCAAGTAAATCTCATTCTTCAAAGAGGTGAACTTATGTATGAGGTCTGTGTTAACAATATGGACATTTAATTCCCTCCTAAAAAAAAGTCCAAGAGGGTAATCAGCACAGTTTGCACGGGCCTACTGTCAATTCTTATGTTTTTCAGGAGGTTACTTTTGTATGTGGTTTCTTATCAAGATAAGTACTTTTGAATATGAGTTATCTGGGCAATCGTAATTCAAACTGGCAATAGTTCGCCACAACTTGGAAAGCACCAACTTTCTTAAAATGTTCAGCTGCGTTCCCGTGCCTCGCTCTGTAAGCACCAGCCTTTCCCCCGGATCTCACCACACGCCCGCGCCCAGCTCCACCTCAGCCACCTTTCTCGGCATAACACTCCACGCGGCGCTCCGGCGCCCACCTCGCCCTCAGGAGGGACGCCAAGGCCGCGGGCTGAGCATCGCTCCCCGCGGGACGCCCGGCGGAGCCGCCGTCGCCGCCCTCCCGCTCTCGTGAGGTGCCGGGCCGCGCCTCGCTCGGGCCGCGCGGATCTGCGCTCTCCTCGGCCGCTCGCGGCCCGTTCTGAGGCCCGTCCCGCTGGCGAGCTCTGGGCGCCGCGCAGTCCCCATTTCCCTCAGGGGAGTTGGCGAGAACTCAGAGGGCAGCGGGGCTTTTTTCTTCCCCTCGGGCTGCCGGGCTGAACCCGGGCGGCTCTTCCCGGTAGGCGGAGCGCGGCGGCGGCTGGGCTGGAGGAACGGCCGCGCTGGTTGGCTGGCTGGCTGCCTGGCTGGTTGGTTGGTTGGTTGGCTGGCCCATTGGCTGGCCCTCTGTGGGGGGCGGGTCCTGGACCGTCGGAAGTGCGGCAGGCTGCTGCTTCTTCTTCAGGGCTGAGAGGACGCCTGAAGGCCCCTCCCTGAGCGGCTCGTTGCGCCTCTGCGCAGCCGGGGGCCGAGGCGGCTGGCCGGGCGGGGTGTTGGCGCATTTCCAGCTGTGAATTCGGGGTGCTTCACGTTGAGAGTACGCATTGGTAGGTGCGTGTCAGCGTGACGATAAGCGCAGTGTGAGATGACTAAGCGCTGCTGCCGTCGGCGAAGCCCCTTTTGATCCCTCTGCTCTGTTTGCGTGGTGAAGTTTGTTTCTCCGCGTTCGGTTGTCTTCGTTTTGCAAAGAATGGACAAGAGAGGGACGAAACGTTGTCGCGTGCAGCAGTTGTTAAGTTTCAGTGGCCTTTGTTAAAATACCCAGCCTCCCACAGTTCAGCAGTTTCAGCAGCAGTTCTCTTGGCCTGGTCTGTCACGAGTGGCTTCTGTGTGGCAGAAAAAGTGTTGTGGTGAGGAGTCTGTAAGGAGGCATCCTCTCTTCTCTGATGCTTTCCTTCTCCGGCCCTGTACAATGATGCAGTTTTTCAAAGAATTCATGAAGGTTGCCCACGATACCGCATTCTTTTACGTTTCTGTATGCAACAGATGTTAAGCAGAAGTATAACAGTGGATGTATTTTATAGGGGTGGTATAGCTGAAGGTACATATAAAGGGACAGCAGCGTTTGGCCTGTAGTTTGAAAGGAGGGGAGGGAGGGAGGAAATGAGTTCATCAGAAGCATTTTGTAACTTTACTGGAAGAAACCTTATTGGGATGACAAAAAGTTACCAGCAAACATTATAAAACATAGACGGAGCTAATTATTAAGTGCGTGCTGGTTCTAAAAGCAATAATTCTTTTGAGCCTGTGTTACGTGTTAACGTGTTATATACAGTAACAATGGGAATGTGTGTGTGTGCATGGAGAAAGAAGAGTAGGTCATCAAATCATTTTCTTTTTGAGATCTGGAGACTGTAGCAGGCCTTTGCCTTTATTTCCTTAAAATTTTGCTTAAGAGCAAGCATTCCATGTTGCAGATGAGGGAAGAGCATTTCCTGGAAAAGCATCACAAGTATTTCAGTGTAGCAGAACTACGTACTGAAACCTTGACTTTCCTTGTTGAAGCTGGTTTTTTTTTTTTTTTTTTTTTTTTTTCTTCTCCCCACTTTTTCCCACTATTTCCACGTATTCCAGAAATATTTTTTTCCCTTCTGTTCCTCATAAAACTTTCAGTTTCTATGCTTGTCTGTCACTAAAGGTGGATATCAATTTTTACTTCAGATGTTCTTCATGTACCTTCAGAGATTGACCACGCTGCAGTGATACAGGTCTGCTGCTCTTCATGCCATGCTATAGTTTTGCATGTCTGCCTCACAGCAAGTAATGCCTTATCAAATATCACACTACCCTTTAGTGCAGCATGGCACTAATGCTATTGATACTTACAGACTCCTTTTTTTTTGTTTCTGTTGAAGTTGCAAGTTAACTTTGCATGTCGAGTTTGGAAAAATTTTATATCATCTTGCTACTCCTCAGTATAAAATGACCAGGTAAAGATCTGCCTGTTTGTCACACTGCAATAACTACTGCAATTGTTTGCTGTAAAAGTAAGGTTATCTCTGTCACTCATCTCACCCTGGGAGACTAGTGCTGTTGCTGTAGTCAACGTGATAGAATCTGTATGTTACACACAACCAGGAGGGCTTCACGATCTTTTTTGTCTTTGTAGCTACCAAAGTTTATGTCAAATATGCTAAGTGCTGTTATTTAAAGTAACTTTAAATGTAGTTACAGGTCTTATTAAACATATATATTTCTTTTGTGTCTCTCAGGGTATCTGCTGACTGGTGTGAAATGTTTAATGGCTGTGTATTTTTTCTAGTCCTTTGGCCACCAGAGTTGAGGACATTGCTACTGTTTCTGCTTTTAAAGGAAAATCAGTGAATTACATTTTTGCAGATCACTAAATGCCATGGGCTTCTATGGATATTCCCAAGGTTCTAATTGTCTTAGGTACAACTCAGTGTCGTGTCAGAAGGACCTTAATTTCAGAACCGAGACTGAGTTTGTAGTACTGGAAAAAGAAAGGCAAAATAACATACTTTTAAAATGTATTATAAGAGGCATCCTTAAAAGGAGGTGGTCTTTATTTACATTTTCAGTGTAAGGAACACTGCTTTATGGGAATAAATCCATTGTTCCTAATGAAAAGCTCCTATGTTTTTCTCTTACAAATTCAGTTCATTTTCACATTGCCCTCTGATGCATATGTTTAAACAAACTTGGAAGTAGCTACCTGAGGTATCTGCTCATATGTCTCTTTGCAGTCATTGATTAACAGGGCTTGTTTTTTGCAGCCAGCGAACAATCTGTTACTTCATGTAGAACATCCTTTCTGGCTATTTTCAGCCATGCTAAATATTTAATGTTTGCCCAAGTCATTGAGGCAAAACTCTTTAGTTTTACATAAATTGCATAGACCTGCTACTCCAGTGTGACTGGTCATTTCCATTATCTCAGTTTCTGAATGCTGAATTTGAAACACCTGAAAATTGAGACTGGTTTTAATGTTGGGTCCTTTTTATATTGTGTATAAATTGTTAACTCTGATAGCAATTTGTATTAGACAAATGCATTTTCACAATTCTAACAGAGACTTTCAATTGCATTTAAGTCTTAATTTTCATTGTAAGGAAAAAAAATAGAAAGGTTATTGCTCTCAAATAGAGGAAACCTTCATTTTGTATGACAGCCAGAAAGATTTTAACTTTAATTGTCAGCTACAGTTTCATCCTTGATTCATATAGAATGTAATAAGGTAATAATTTACTAGAATTGATTTCAAAGAAAGAAAAACACTGACAGGAAGAGAAGGTTTTATCATTTAAAAATGCTTGGTGATGTTTAGGAAACTTGTTCTGGCAATATAAGGGTTTTTTTCAGATTACTTACTTGTTATACAGGCATGCTTTTTGTTTCACGAAGCCTCTGTTGCCGTGGCATTGGAACGTACCATCTACAAACAAATTTACTTTCTAGGTCCATCAAGCTTTCAGCCTCTGATGTAAGTATTCAATCTACTTCATCGATAAAACTACTTTGTGCAATGTTTTAGTGAGGCACTGATTTTGTAATGCTGCCAATAAATACACATCAGCTGTATTTTCTTTACTCCTAGTTACCTTGACCCAAGCATTTAATATTAAGACTAAAGTAAGTTTTCTAACAAGTTAAATATTTAACCTGGTGAACACAACAGAATTTGGCACTTATTGCTCTGTATAACCATTTCAGTTTTTAAGGTCGGTGCTACAGGTAGGAGCTGAAAGGATTGCCTAACTGTTAGAGCATTAGCCTGAGATGTAGGAGTGATTCCTGCCAGCTTTATCACAGAACTTCGGTGCGTCAATTCCTTTGTATCTCAGCTTTCTGTTAATTCAGCAGGGATAGTTGTGATTTTTTGATGCTGCAATAGCAAGGGATATAAAAGCACTGCAAGCTTAATTTTTTATAGAATCTCCTTAATTTCCCTGCTTAACTGCATTTGAGATTATTTAACTTCATTCATAAGTGTTATTTGTTCACTTTCTCGAAGTAGCTGGCATTGTGAACTCTACTGTAAGCTGAACATCTGAAAACTGGTATAAGTTTAGTTGCTCTGTTTTGAAGCTATTTTCAAGGCACAAAAAAAAAAAAAAGTAGACCTGAAGTACTAAGTGTTTAAACTTAAGGTAGTGTGAGGACTGTAACAGGCTTACTTTACTTGCCTACATATTTTTAGCTATGGGAAATTACTTACTGAAGTTAAGATCTATGTTACAGTTGAGGATAAAGTCTTACAGTGGAAAGACTTTTAGTGAATTGAGACAATTTTAGGAGGAGCTGATCAGTAGAACAAATTTCCCATGGCACTGTACAGAATTCTCATTTTTAGCTGGAAAGTTTCAAAGAATGTTTCTTATTTGCTATAATGTGAGTAGTAGTGCTGCATGTGGAGAGGAAAAAAAAAAGGAAGTGTATGTGGAGAAGGGCTCAGTTTAACTTGTATTATTGGTATTTATACAGTACTGGCAGACATTAATCGTATTTACCAAGACAAACATTGTAAAATTGGATTTATCCTCTAAACTGCATGTTTTTAATAGATGCAGTACTGATCACCCAGTCAAAACTCACTCTTAACTATGGTGTATGTCTGTCTAGTTACTGTTTGCTGCCTGAGGATAAACAAAAGATGTCCTCCTATGTGTTGTTCTTTGGATGATTGTTTCTTACAGATGAGGTCAGAATTAGATCCATGCAGAAAACAAATGAGCAGCAAAATATGTTAGTTTATTAATTGTTTTCCCATGTTTCAAATTGTTACACATGTAGGAGCTTCATTACTGTAAAATGATTGAGGACAAACACGTACCTGCATGAAATGACAGCTGTGAGTCAATCCCACTGTTTCAAAGTTGAAACTTTAAACGTAATGGCAACTCAGGTATTTAGTCCTTCTCAAAGTGTGGTAGCTGGAGTATGGTTTTGGAATCCTTCATAAATGAATAATACCAAACAGTGGTAAAAGTCACTAAAATTAGTATTCTGACTCAAAGAAACTGTAGTGTTTGGGGCCCTAAGAGTCTTATTTTCTATGTGAATTGCTTTTCAAGTGTAAAGCTGATTTCCAGACAGAAATGGACATGCACTGCTTTATGATTGTTTTCTTTGTTGTTTGTGCATACAAATAAATTTGATGGTTTTCTTTTCCCAAATTTTCTTTTTTTTTTTTTTTTTTTTTTAGTACCAGAATTATTAAAAAGGTTTACAGGGAGAACTGTGAGGTCTATTCTAGAGCAGTTTCCTAAGACCTTCAGTAGTGGTCTTAATATACAGCAAAAAGACACATTCTAATGTGTTTGTGTTGTAACATGAACCGCCTTTCCTGTTTTCTTGCTAACCATCATATTGGAAAATAAAGTTACATTGAAAAAGAAACTTCCAAGCTGTATCGGGCTTGAAAGAAAACCAGCTGTTAAGATATTAGTGTATCGTAGAAAAAACAAAGAATGTATTTATTCCAATTTTTATTTTTAGATCATTTTTTGAAGCTATTGAGCTGAACGATGCTCCTCATCCATCCTTGCTGCCAATTCAGTTTTAGATCGTGACGAATGGGGATTTCTGACGCATTTAATGTATTTTCTTCTTAGTCTGTGTTCAAGCTTTAACAGAAGCTTTAATGAAAGACCGTGTCTATAATTTTGAGTAAGAACTGAATTCAGTTGGCAGTGGTATATTTCAGAAGGCACGAAGGAGGGTTTGTCATGCAGGATCCAACAATGTAGTACTTTGTCTTTCTTAACAAAGCCCTCCTATCTGTATATTTTGATCTTGCAGACAATGGCCTTTAGACACAAAAACACACGACGAATTGAAGGCCTTGATAGCAATGTGTGGTAAGTAAAAGGAAAATATCAGCTAATTTCAGAAAAGGCCTTTGGCTGATGTATTTTCTTTCCAGGTTGATAATTATTGCCAATAAGAAAGTGCACAGCTCTTGCTGTCTCTGCTGAAATATATTTGTTACCTGCTTAAAAGAAGAAGCAATGAACCAAATTCTGTTAAATATTATTTCTGTGCATGAGACATTAGGCACAGGCTTCTGTGCATCTAGTAAACCATATAAGACAATTATAGCTCTTGGGTGTGGCAGAATAACTGGCTTTCAACTTTAAATGTTAATTGAGTTGAATAATTATCTCAGTAATACTCACTTCTTGTTTACCAAGTGAATTTGACTTTATTTTTAAGCCATTACGCTTGTCTTTGTAATTTAAGTTCTTATTCTTAGTATGCTTTTTGCTAGTTATTAAATTGCTCAGAAAGCACTATTATCATCACTAGTAAAGGTGGGATTTTGTTTGTTAATGAAAACAGCTTGGGGCTTATGTTTGTATGTATGTACGTGTATGTGTAAGTATGCATATATACAGACACGATGTTGTTTTGGTCATCCAGCCTCAGATGGTGGGGTTTCTTTTTTTGCTAGCAATTTGTTTTTAATTTTGTTTCATTGAACTGTGATGCTTGTTTTCCTTTTTTCCTGGGTAAATTTTGCATTTTGCCCTTTCCTGACTACCTACATCTTAACAAGAGTGAAAGACAACAAACAAACAAACAAAAAAAAACCAAAACCAAAAACATCCATACAAACAAAGTTGTTCAAGAGTTTTAAGCTTAGTTTCTGACAGGGTACTGGAAACAGTTAACAAAAAGCTTCTAGCAATCCATTGCCTAAAGTCACAAAAAGAAGAAGTTACAATCCTTAGAGATGACTGGGTAGTTTAAGTGACACCCTTCACTTGACAAAATCTAGCCTTTAAATCATGTGATATCCCTGTTCTCATTCAGGTCTACTTCATTTTACAAAGAGGGCACTGTTTCACTTCTGCCTCTATGCAGAAAAACTGTACGCTTGTGTGTGTGCGTACGAGCACCATTCTGCTGGTAAAACGGTTATTCTGTGAGGAATAAATTAACTGTTTTTTGGGTTCTCTGACTCCTGCGGTTACTTAACATTATCCCAGACTCTATTTCTCAGCATGAACGCACTTTACTAAAAACTGCTTCCAGTACTGTGAATTTGGCAAAGCAAAATACTTCTGTCTTCTAATTTTCTTAAAGGAAAAGATGATTCTATCTGATATGTTAAACTGAAGGTGTATTTTTTTTTTTTCTGTTAGGGTTGAATTTACAAAGGTGGCAGCAGATCCTTCAATTGTTAATCTTGGTCAAGGCCTCCCTGATATATGCCCTCCCAGCTATGTTAAAGAAGAGCTGGCAAAAGCAGCAGCAGTTGACAGACTGAACCAGTACACACGAGGCTTTGTAAGTACTGTGGAACTTGAGGAGTTGAGATCAGTGGAGAACTTGCCACAGAAAAAAAAAAATTGACTTTGCTTTAAGTTGGTTTTACTGGTAGTTCATGCTTTTCTGTCTCAAATTAAGTTTTATCTGTTACCAAACAACAGACTGTGCAGTCTTCCTTAAGGCAGAATACTTGCTCAAGAGCAAAATGGTAGTGTGTGTATGAGATTGCATGGACCTTTAAAGACAATATAAATCAATTTACAGATTAAAAGATTGTAAATTACACGTTTTCCTTTTATTTGGTCAGCATGGACATGAATTGGGTAGGATAATACTAGCATGAGAAAGGTCACTATCAGTAAGTGAAGAAAGTACACTATCAGTTGAGACAGTGCCTCAAGAAAAGATTCACCCATGATATCAGCAGATCTGAGTGGAGATTAGGAAGTGTTAGAAAGAGGAAGTTTCCCCTCTGGAGGATGGTCACTATGCAGTGTGTAACTTGTATTGTAGCACTTTGGTCGTGAGTTGGTTGTGGAGTAACTTGGCTGGTGCAGCATTGCTGTGTAGCTGACACACTCGTGGGAAGAAGTGGCTGTAATTTTAATCAAAAATGACTTACAGGTCTTAAATTATTGCAATGTTTTTGTTTACAGAGAGGTTCATAATTTTATGCCTTATGTGCAGAGTTACAGTGTTCAATATTTAGAGGAGGATATTTGTTATGTAGGTGAATGTTCTCCCAGAACTGTTTTCACTCTTTTCATCAAGTATCCAAAAAGGAAGGAAAAAAAGGTTTTTCATGGCAGGAAACCTCTAGTCTTCCTGAGTAAACAGTGTTGTGCCTTTTTATTCCTGTATCATAGATGGTCTTCGTTTTATGTTTGTTTTCTTGTTCATTGCACATTTTGGGAAGAGTACATGAACCTGTGTCAACTGGCAAAAGGTGGTCTGAGGTTTGCAATATATGACGTATCATTCTGATCACAGGAGCTGTTTATCAGCAGTATATAACCAAGATAAAAAGATTTTCCTTGCACCAAAACATTTTTAGTTGAAAGTTAATGAAAATGAAAGGCGCTTCAGATGGAGATATGAGTGGGTAAGAAGCAGATAAGGAAGGAAGTAAGGAAGATTAACTGGTATCAGTTTATTCCCTTCTCTCCTCCTGTCTCTTGTCCTAGCTCTCCTACAGGCTACCTGAAGTTATCCTGAGATATGATGGTAAGATAGAAATTCAAAAGTATTAGCTATGCAAAAAGAATTTCCTAGTAAATTCAAATAAAATAGCTTTGCTTACCCAATGTACAAATGCTTTAAGTATGTTGCCTGTTAAAACATATTAACACTGAGGGTCCATCTCACATTTTTCTGTTTCAAAACATGTTACTTTGATCTATGGGAGGATGGGCAACAACCCCCCTTTCCTCCCCCCCCAAATAAAAAGCCCCAAAACACTGGAGTGCTCCTGACAGTGTGTAAACTCTTTCAGATGCATTTCTTTGCTTTGAACAGGGGCATCCATCATTGGTGAAAGTCTTGTCTAAAGTATATGAGAGAGTTTGTGGAAGAAAGATTGACCCTCTCACAGATATCCTGGTGACAGTAGGAGGTTATGGATCTCTCTTTAGTACGATACAGGCTTTAATTGAAGAAGGCGATGAAGTAAGTTTTTATTTGAAACATTCACTTATGTGCACTGAAAAGAGAATTTCACTGTTTTTTTTTTGTTTTGTTTTGTAGCTGTTTGTCCACTTAATGTTTGGGCTTCTTTTTGATTTCTAGTATTTTTTTTTAGTTACAGGAAGTAATTCAGACCTCTGCATATTTGACTTGCAGCTCTAGAAGCATCCTTTGGATGTCTTCCCTGTCAGTTCACCAGCTTACAGACTCTTTTCTTTCATGCTTGGCAATACCTGTAGTGGTTTCTTTACTGTTATTGTTAGATGACATGATATTGTATGTTTATTTAAGAAAATGTCTGGGTTGTTGTCTGCAATAGAAAACAAAGCATAATGCAAAGTACTGCCTGTGGAAAAGCTACTGTATGTCAAGTTCTATTTTGAACCATTGAGTTATGGCAACAAAAGCAGAGAAGTTCTTCATCACTACTCATCCCAGTCTTTTTGGTAATGATACTAAATGTCATTTTGGGAGAATGTTTCTTTGGGTCTGCAGTGAGCAAAAGCTTCTTTTGTTGTGTTGCACATTTTGCTTTCAGCATTTTGTTGTTTTCACTTAAATAATGTGTTCACTTTTCTATCTTCTATTTCTTTTTTGTTGCTTTGGTATTCACTTCTGTCTAACAGAACAGTTCTGTTAACAGTTCTCTTAGTTCTCTGCTCTAACCTTTCTTTGGGTTGGTGGTTGCAGGTTTTTTTGTTTTGTTTTTTCTTTTCATATTTCCAAGCCTCTGCCCAGCAGTTTTCCTTGAATTTGTCCTTTTTTCCAATTTAAATTTTTTCCTGTTGGAATTCTTTGGGATTTCCTTGATGTTTGGAAATTCTGTGTTGGAGGTAGAATCCATGTCTTTGAAAAGAATACGTTCCATCTGACATGGCGAGTGCATACTTGCTTCCACTTGGAATGTCATTAATTAGGGCACTGTGCTGTTCAAAAACTTGCTGTGGTTATCTCCCATCTTTGTCCTGCACATTTACATCTGTGCAACAAGGCCCCAAACATTCCAGGTGTTATATGTTAGTGTTTGTAACATTGTAACTACAGAATAACAGCCAATGTGTGTTGTCAATAAGAAGAGTAGAGCTTATTATGCTTAGTCTAAGGGCATTATTATATTATGAGTTTTTTTTGCTCTTATTTTTTGAGACCTGAAAGATCATCTAGTTCCAACCCCCCTGTACAGGCTGGATTACCAGCCACTAGATCAGGCACTAGATCAGGCTGCCCAGGGCCCATTCAACCTGACCTTGAACACCTGGAAGGATGGGACACGCAGCTTCTCTGAGCAGCTTGTTCCAGCATCTCACCACTTTCTCAGTGAAAATTTTCCCTCTGACATCTAATCTAAATCTCCCCTCTTTTAGTTTAAAACCATTCCCTTGTGTCCTATCACTATTTACCCTTGTAAAAAGTTGATTTTCCTTCTGCTTATAAGCTACCTTTAAGTATTGGAAGGCCCGATCAGGTCTTCCCAGAGTTCTCCAGTCTTCCGATCATCTTCATGGCCCTCCTTTGGACCTGTTCTGAAAGCTCCACATCTTTCGTGAGCTGAGGGCCCCAGATGTGGATGCAGTACTCCATATGGGGCCCATAGAGGGCAGAGTAGAGAGGGACAATTGCCTTCCTTGCCCTGCTGGCCATCTTTCTTTTGATTCAGCCCAGGATGCTGTTGGCCTTCTGGGAAAGGAAGAACATTGTGATTTTTTTTTTTTTTTAAATCAGGATGGAGTGCCAGAAACATTATCCAGTTAGATTACCAAAGCAAATCTGGAAATATGATGGTATTATGCACTGAAGATTTTCTGTTTCTGATATTGCTATTGTAATTTCAGGTAATAATAATAGAACCATTTTATGACTGTTATGAACCAATGGTGAAGATGGCGGGTGCAAAGCCTGTTTTTATTCCACTGAGATATGTGAGTAGCTTTTTAAAAATTGTTTATTATATGAAACTTCTATACCTAATACAATTTGATGAAAACCTTATAGGAGATGCTTTTCTGTGCAGTGTTTCAAAATATTCAATTATACAAAAATGAAATTGATTGTTGCAGCACAAGACTGAGATAATGATAATCCAAAGCAAATAAAATATTTTATTGATGCTGGAAAAGGTAGGACAGTGTTTCTCATTTTCTCATTTACTTTAATTTGCACAGTCTGAAAGCTGATCAACATTCCTTTGTTTGGATGGGATCAGAAAATGTTTTCAGTAGAAATGGGGGAAGGATGGTCATGCCAGTGCAAATTCTGTATCTGTTGAGTTTCAGAATATTTGGCTTCTGATCCTCTTGGTGACTCATGTAGTGACGGAGTAGAATTTATTTTCTAAAATCCACTTATTTAATAAGAAATGATTATGAGGTAGCTGATGTATTTATTGGTAAAAAAGGAGTAATTATCATATAGTTAAGTTGCATATTGGTACTTCTGGCATTGTGTTGGCAGGTTGCATGGATTTTTATGGATGCAAGATGTTGATCTTGCTGAGAGGGCTGAGTGACTGCTTTTCTTTCCTTCTAGGCATATATCAGAAAATTAGTATGGCCGTGTTCTTTGATATTAGCAGAAACTGACCCAAACTTCTGTCATCTTCATGTACACTGAGGGTGTAAGTCCAGAGTCTCAGTGGTAGATATTTTTAACTCTTTGGCTGTTTTCTCATAGATAAGGAGGGAAGGAGCTAAAATCCTAGTCTAGGGGTGATTTCCAGCCAAGCACACACATAACTTGTTCTAATGTATGGGAAGGCCATAAACTCTACTGTCATATGATTGCACTTCCTGCATTACACCCTATATGTGTGAGTAACCAGATCCTGGAAACTGGTTCTTGGGGAAGCTGTGAGACAGGCCAGGTTCTTGGGGAAGCTGTGAGACAGGCGTCAAGCAGGACAAGACTGCCATTGTCACAGTAATTTGTCTTGATCTTAGCTTCCTGCCTGTTTGGGAGCACCTCCTCCCAGGGAAGCAGAACAGGTTGGATAAGTTGTCATGTGTAGTTAGTAAAGTGTCTGAGGATGGTAACTTGGGTACCTCTGTTTAGGCAGTAGCAAGTTGCATTCCAGTAATGCATGTTTCGTTTTTATTTGTTTTTCCAAGAAAAATGGTGGAAACTCTGCATCCAGTGCTGATTGGGTCTTAGATCCAGCTGAACTTGCAAGTAAATTTAATTTGAAAACAAAAGCCATTATTCTGAATACCCCACACAACCCTATAGGCAAGGTAAGAGTCCTGCTTTAACACTACTATAATTTCAGAGTATGCTTTAAATACTGTGACTGATGCATTGCCTTTACTTTCTTGCATCCCAGGTATTTACCAGAGAAGAACTCCAGATAATAGCTGATCTCTGTATTAAACATGATACTCTGTGCATCAGTGATGAGGTGTATGAATGGCTGGTGTACAAGGGAAATAAACACACAAAAATAGGTACTTATCTATTAGAAGCTGCTGTGGTATGATACTGCAAACTTACCCCTAAAATAATGTTTGCTGGAAGAAGTTCAAACTTTAAGCTTTTACTATTTCAAAATATCAAGAGTAGCAATAGGAGAAACTCCATTAATGAGGGCTCTAGTGGAAGCATCACGGTAGAAATTGATTCTTATAAAAAATGAAAAGGAAGTTATACCTAAATGACCTTGGAATGCTTATTAGCTCAGCTACACAGCTACTGATCGTACAGCTTAGTATGTTAATTGCATTGGCCATGCATAGGCTATGAGTCTGTTTTGAAAGTGGCCTAACCTTGTGGCTGTTGTGGTGATACCTTCCAGATTCTTCGCTTGTCTGATACCTTCTAGAAGACCTTCAGATGCTGAGAAAATGGAATGTTTGGAATGTTTTGGGTTCATGTGATTGTAATTGTGCATTGTACCAAGTTACCACAGTAACTGGTGCTTTATCCTGTTCCGATTACAAAGTAAAATGAGTTTAGTTTATAGCTTTCTTCATAGATCTGGCAGGTGGTTCATGCAAATAGCCATCTTCAGAACCAGAGTCACTGTGGGTGGTGTAAGGTAATCCATTTTTTTCCTTTGCCATAGCAACAGGTTTGAACACTCATGTTGTCAGTCGTGCTTTGTCTTAGTGGACAGGTGCTGAGTTCTTAAAACACAGTAACTTTATTGTTTATTAGTATTATTGTCATGTTAATGCTTCAAACCAAAACGTTTACAACTGAACTGAAGACTTTCTGTAGTTCAGCATGCAAAATAAAAATCCCTTGTGATTATGAGAAAAGGTAAAGCCTGAAAGGTTACTCAGCTTCATTCATTTCAGCATGTACTCTATGATCAATCCCATGACATCATCTTTAACTTTATTGCTAAGATGATCATAAAACTTCCATAAAACTGTGAGAAATAACATTGCTTCAGTAAAAGAAGCAAGATCTGTTCATTTTAACTTCAGTTTCTTAGACTTCTTTAAATCTACAAAAAGAAAATGTAAGAAAAAATGGCATGTGCTATTTCTCTATTTGATAGCTCCTGTGTTTTCATATTAAACTTTCCACACTCCATCTGTGCACTGACGCTTCCTTTCTAGAGATACAAAATAGATATTGCAAATTATCAATTTACAGTGTCTGGTGGTGGTGCCTTAATATAATTTAACAAGAGTTGCTCAACACAGATCATAAAATTAGTACAGTCTTTGTGCTGTCACTAAGGCTGTTTTCTGTAGTGTGGTGCACTTCATCATGTTTCTCATCATTATCCGACTTTGTAAAAACAGTGAACCTTCTTTAAGTAATGATTAGGATTTAGAGGTAGCATATTGTAACTGAGGATTGACAACAGACATCTCAGCAAGCTGAGTGCCAGCCCAGGTAACAGACTTACATGTGTTAGCTTGCACTTTGATAGTAAATTGTAGTCCAAGTCCCTTAAGGTGTCATGTAATGATGCTTCCATCTGGCATGGAAGCACGGAAGAATTTGCTTATTTAAAACCTACTTGTAAAAAAGCAACGGAGCTGATTCTTCGCCTGTGCTCTTTTGGTGCTGCTGTTGTTTGAAAATGCTGTTACATTCTGTCTCCAAGGTTGAATTTCTAAGACTATGTGGCAAAACAATTTCTTGCTAGAGGGCATTTGCTTTGAAATTCAATTATTTTTGCAGAGAGCAAGTTCAGTTGTCTTTAGGAAGTAGTGTGTACTCTTGACCTAGCTAGCTACAAGATGCATCTGTTCAAACTGCCTTTATGTTTTCAAGGTCACAGAGCAGTTGAGTGAATAAGGGTGAGCTAATAAGAATACAGGTCTCTTTCCTGCTAGTTTGGTTTCTTTTCTTGGCAAGTGTGCTCAGAAGAATACAATGCATATTTTTGAAGAGTTGCAATGACCTTTACCATGCCTAATTAATGTAACGGCGGCAAAACCTTTCGTATGAAAGTCAGTGTTTGTTTGGAAAATCTGTTTGTTGGTCTCTCTGGAGAGGGAATTTAACAACTGATAAATTCATTGGTAGCAAATTGCAAGCTGACAGAAGAGATCTTTGCTCTGTCATCAACTTTGAAAAGGAGGGAAAGATTTTGGTCTCCTACAAGATACAAATACAAAGATGGAGATAAGCTTCCTTGTATCCCTTAATGCTTGCGGACACCTTACCTAGTTCTTACTGCGTTTCAATCTCAGGGCTGTGCAAATTGTATAATAAAATGTAATTTATTTACTCTCTACTGGGTTTCTGACTTCTAAACCAGAACCTTACAGATTATTTTCATTTTCTGATAAGAGATACTGAATGATACTGAACTGTTTTCTGGACAATTCTGTTAAAATGGCTGGGAGTGCTTGGTTTAATGTTGTGTACAGTGCCCTTACTAGGCATCAGAAATAATACCATATGAGGTAAATAAGTAGCCTCTTAGATTTTTTTTTTTTTTTTTTTTTTTTTAATGAGTAATTCTGCACCTGGGGAAAACTAACATCATTTTCACCAACTATATCTCTCCTCATTTTCTGTCTTTTATCCAAATCTTGTTTTTCTGCCAAGATCTTTGGTCCATATATTCTTTCTCACTTATTATGGCTGCTATAGTTTTCAAATATTCTCACTACAATTAAACATCAGCACATTGTAGTTCTTAGCTAGGAGCAAACTACATGGAATATGTGAATGCACTTGTACCCAATTAATTTTATTTTGTATGCAGCTACGTTGCCAGGTATGTGGGAAAGAACAATAACTATAGGAAGCGCTGGGAAAACATACAGTGTAACTGGTTGGAAGGTAAGGAAAATCAGCGTAAGGGTTTAGTTAAGTAAATAACAGGATGCATTTTTGTTACCTGTGTTTGAAAGTTTCTGGCAAAAATCTGTGTGTCTCTAAAAAATGAAGATACCATTCAGCTGGAACAACTGCTTGAACTCTTTGTTCTTGTCTGTTGAGTAGTGAGTTCTTATGAGGAAAAAATATATAAATAAACACAGTATGATTTGTTCAAAACTCTTGGAGAAGACTCAGATGCTATCCAGTATTGTGATGGTGATGTTGTTTTCAAATCTATATAATACCTTTTGGAATAGTTTCTCTTTCAATGCTATTAAAATATTAAATGATAATAATATTTTGCCCGACTTCAACATACATACTGGAAAATAAAATATATAACCTTTTGGCAGCTAAATTCTTTCTTTTTTATCGCCCGTGGTCAGTCTGAACCATGACAATTGACTTCTGTCTGGCTGAGAGTGGATTTGATCCAATAATGACCTCTTGTTTTATGCTCGAACCACCCTTGACATGGGTGCCTATGAGACGGACTTAGAACAATTGGCAATCTCATTCCTAATAAAGGAGCTGTTTATCTTCTAACTTGTCATATGGAGAATTAAAAGTTTGCTTGATATTCTTTGAGACGTGTTAAGTGAAGCTGTTATTCTTGTCTCATACCTAGACTTTTTAAAAATGCATTGTAGAGGAAAGTTAAACTAACTGTATTCTGAGTTCTTTAGGACAAACTAATAATTGTTAAAGAAAACCTTGAGACATTTTCTAACTTCAATTCTTTGTTAATCTGAAGTAATGGTGTTGCTGTAAGTGTAATATATGCATGTTTTTCTTCCCGTAGCTTGGTTGGTCTATTGGCCCTCAGAATCTGATTAAGCATTTGCAAGTAGTTCATCAAAATACACTCTATACTTGCCCAACTCCATTACAGGTACGTACAGATGGAGCCAAAGAAGTTATTTTCTGGCATAGCAAACTTGTAGACCTCACCATGATAAAACAATAATCACAACAACTAATTTTTGATTGTCAAAATATGTGTTCTGGGTTGCTAGAAAAAGGTGATAATCTTCATCAGCTGAACAGACATTTAAAAAATAAACATAAAAAACAACCTAAAACAAAACCAAGGAAGTCTTGCGGATTCTTTCTTCTTTGACACACAAACTGCTGCTTCTTGCAGAAAGCACCACTCATAGCAATCTGTGGGGTTTCCTGCCAAATGTAAGTAAAAGTTGATGCAGTAGGGTCTTGTTTTACTGACAGTTATCTTTACCTTACAGTTTACTTCTTAGTATTTTTATGATTATATTTCACTAAACTCAGCTTCAGTTCATTTTGTAAACGCTTCAGAGCTTTTGTATGTGATGAATGCCTAGTGAGCAATTGGTGCTTCGGGTTTTGCTACAAGTTAACAAGCAAATTACACTACTGGATGCAGTTTGTGTAATTTATATTTGTTGATTTGCTTAATAAGAGCCAGATCCTACTACAGAATTTCATTAGGAAGCATGTGAGTGTCCATGAGTATTTTGAACATTGTCGTTTCCAGGAGGCTTTGGCACAAGCACTTTGGGTAGACTATAAACGCATGGATGACCCAGACTGCTATTTTTACTCTCTGCCTCGAGAGCTGGAAAGCAAGCGTGATCGGATGGCTCAGCTACTTCAAGAAGTTGGGCTGACACCTGTCATTCCAGAAGGAGGATACTTTATGATTGTTGATGTTTCTACATTAAGTAAGCTTAAAATATATATATATTTTATATAATGTTATATAATAATATTATATATATTATATATATATATATATTATATATATAAGCTTTATATATATATATTTTTAAGCTTATATATATATATATCTCATTTCTTGTTCTCATGACATGGTCAGAAATTCTAATTGGGAATAAAATTTTCCATCTGACTTTAGCCTGTAGGTGGATTTTATGAGCTTGAGGAAAACTGTTTGTTTGCAGTTGTAACAGCTGTCCTTGTTTTGCAAAGCTTTGGCGAAGTTTTAGGAGGGGCAAAGGTTTTGGATAAAAAAGTCTATTTCTTAACAGTCTATGACTATGAAACGATTTGAGAGCCAAGCATTTGGCTTAATCTCTTGTTAGCTGTTCCAGTATAATCTGAATTACATTTCTTTAATAAAAGCATACATCTTTATTCTGAAGTGTTAGTGTAATGCTGTTCATGATGCCTTCCTACTGGAGCCTGGAAAATCATACCGTTTCTTTTCCTTAGATGTGGATCTCTCTGATGTAGATGAGAATCAACCTTATGATTATAAATTTGTCCGATGGATGATATCATCTAAGGTAAGGTGTCCTGGTTATATTCTAGTTTTAGAAATGCTTTTTTACTGAAATCCAAAGCAGTGCAACCATGCTTACTCAAAATATTGTTTGGTATTCATGCTATCTTTTAGAAATGATGTGGCTTAAATATTGCTAAGCATACTGGTAATGTATTTTATAGGTTTGTGTTAAGTTCCAGCAATTGTTTCTCTGCTTAAATGCTAGTTGTAAAAAACCAAACAAAAAAACCTTTGAAATATTTTGTCTAAGAAAAGTAATGTGAAATTATTTAAGCCTAGTTACTCAGAACAAAATTCAGCCTTGTATTTTCCTTGAATGTTGGAAGATTTTAGAAAATCATGCTTAAATCTGTTTTTAATATATATATGTATAATAATATTTTTGTTTAATTCTTCAGAAACTCTCAGCAATTCCGCTTTCAGCATTCTGTGGGCCTGAGACAAAGAGGCAATTTGAAAAATATATACGTTTTTGCTTCATTAAGGTAAATTTGTGTCCCATGAAGACTCAAAAATCAATGCAGCATCAAAAACTGCAATAGACAACTGCTACATTTTTTCCCACAGTCTGAGTTGGATGATTTTAGAAACAGAAAATCAGTTTGGTGTATAATTCAGCATGAAGTAGCTTCAACAGTCTTTTTTTGCCAACGGACTTGAAACCAGAAATCTGGATGACATAGCTACCAACTGGGTGGTTAGGTCTTTTTTTTTTTTAAATAGATATTTTGTTGATTTGTAAAAGCATTATTGACCAGTGATGACACTGAAAATGTATCAGGTGGATATGCAATCACTTACAGTGGATTCTATAACCAGAATAAGGAATAATTCCCACATATAGGAAAATGACATACTAAAATGATATGCATGAAGTACTGCATGTCTGTTCAGTGTCCAGCAACAAAAATCATAAATCGGCTTGAAGTTTAGCTTACCTGAAATTACCAAGGGTTTTACACAAGCTGCAGACTATGAAAGAAAACAAAGCTGTAAACTATAAAAGAAACAAAGACATGGGAAGGAATCTCATCTGTGTTTTTTTTGTTGATGTTGTTTTTTGTTTTTTTAAAGAAAAGAGAAATCATGAATCTGTGATTTTGTGAGCACCTGATTTTCACATGTTCTTCCCAGTGTTTCAACCAGTTGTTGAATCTGTGCTTGAAAAGAAATGCTGTGGGGACACGTACATACATAATCTTTGGTAATCTGGGTGCTGTAAGGTGTCTCTCGTATTGCTCTGTCACAGTGTCAACATAATGAAATGTGACAACTCTGTTTTAGTATAAGAATCTGTACATTTGCTTGGTCCAGTAATGAATGGGAATTTCTGCTTATGTTATCACAGCTCTTAGGATGAGGTATAAAGACAGTGATACAAACAGAGCCAGTAACAACCAGAATGAAACTTGCTGATAGTTAATATGGCTTGCCAAGGATGGACAGCACTAATCACGACAAGTTAAACACTACCTGTATGATTCATTGTGTTGTAGCCAAGTCATGCTGATCATCAACTGCTCAGTGGGTTACTCGCATTCAGAGGGTTTATGTTTAAGTAGACAGCATAGCTTGGTTGCATGAAGTTTTAAAAAACCCGCCTATACACATGAAGATTAGGAAACTATGCTAACAAGTGTCCAGTATAGAGCAGCCAAATGCGTCACTGTGTAAATGCTGAATATTTACATAAGGACTACCCAGTTTAATGAAATTTGATAATACTAATATTGAGAAAAAATGTTATTTTTGAACAAACATATCTAATAAATCTTTGCAAGGAATCAGAACTTTTTTGTGCAGTGTAGATTTGTAGCTATAACTTTTAATGACAATGTGATCAATTGGGATATTAAGAGGTTGCCAGTGACACTGCCAAATATTGATTTGGGATATAAATATGACTGGTACTGTTTTCAAGAATCCACACTTGCAGTAATAGTGATACTCCTTGTTTTGCAGAAAGACAGCACTCTGGATGCAGCTGAAGTGATCCTGAAGAACTGGAAGAAGCAGAAAGCTTGATTTTTTTTTTTTTTTTTTTTTTTTCTATTTTTATATATATATATTTTTTTTAAAATTTTTTCTCTTAATTAACTCTTCTGTCTGGTATAATTATCTTACATCAGGGCTTTTGTTGCAGACTTAAGAACAAATTACTTAATACAGTACAGAATTAATATGATATTGTAAATAACTTTGTACTGCCACCTGCTGAGGAGTTAAAACAATGATTTACTGATATTTGTAATGCAACTCAGGTTATTTTCACATGTCTTTGTCTTACTGAAATGTGAAGAGTTCTAGAACTGCAAAATAAAAAATTGTTGTAGGTATTTTAAGTTTTTTGGTATGAGGTGGTGGAAAGTCACTGTATGTCTCAGAGAAGATAAGTGCCTTTCTATGTACCTGTCTACTCTGTCCATGCATAGATTGCATCAGTTTAACTAAAATGATTGAGTTAAATCAATTATGTGTGTATACAGGCAAGATCTAAAGGAATAATCAGTATTTGGTTATTTCCACGGTAGTCTTGTGCTATTCTGAGGGTATTCAGTCCTCAATAAAATTATGCAGGTGGCATTTAGAATAGGATTTCTTTTATTTCTAGACTCTTGTTTACTCCATAAATGAATCTGCAAAGCAAAATAAAAGGACTTGCTATAGAGGCATCTCCATCAGGTGAATTAATCCTATGATCTCTTTTTTGCTCTTTTCACGTCCACAAAAGCCACTGGTAACTTCACAACAATCCTACTTTAAACTCTTAAGATCAAGTGGGAACATGGAGGTGCGCCTGATATTGTGCTGTAGTTCTGTGATGGAGCTCAACTTTGACTATTCCTAGCTCAGTGGCTAAAGGATAGGTTCAGATGAGGTAGATGTGGAGAGTTCTTTCATTGTTGTCTCCTCTCTGTGCAATCTTTTAATCTCTGGGTAGGATTTCCACAAGCGAAAGCAATCCAAGTATGTAACCTTTTAAATGTGTTGTATTCTTCATATTCGTTTGGTATTCAACCCACAGACCTTATGCTGGAAAGCTCAAAGAAATTCTGTTGCTAGATTTGCAACTATTTTACTTATTCTGTGGTTATAGAGCTGGAATCCAGCTGAATCCCAGCGGTTTGTGACTATGGACAAGGACAAAAAGAATCGTATGGAAATCAGACTGTGATCTGCTAGGCTGCTTTATCAGTAGCCTATTAGCTGGGTCTTTTCAGCTGCCTTGCACTGTTGTTCTCCAGATCTCCCCACAAAAATGGTTAGTTGCAATTTTCAAGAAGTCATTACAAGTAATATACTTGTACCAGTGAAGATAAAAATAATATCAAAAGAGACTTCTAAATAAAGATCATTGCGTCATGCTAGTCTGAAATACAACTGCAAAAAAGCACAGTTCTCTGAGTACTTCTACAACTATTCTTACAGTCTAAGATTTCCCTGAGATAGCTTGCTGGTAGCATCAGAACATGCATGTAATGAGGCTGTGCATCCTCTCAAAAGTGGAAAGGTGTTAGGATGCTACTCGCCTCCCTTTACTGTGTTTATATTGCCTTGTGAACAAAAGCCTCATTGCTTCCAAAGCACTTGATGTAATCTGCTAATCTTTTTTTGTGTCGTTAAAGGTCTGGACATGTAAGATGCATTGCAGAAATGAATTGATATACCAAGCGTGATTCAGCTGCTCTGGCTGTTGATCGTTGCCTCCATTTGCTCCTATGAGGCATTTGACTGACATCTGATATTTTAACAAAATGAACATTGGCTAAATAAACAATTGCAAAGGATCTTTAGACAAACAAGATCTGATGACTTACTGTCATTAATGTACTGTTTGTTGTGTTTACAAAGGCAGTTGAAATCCCATTGAATGATTGCTGGAATGTTAATGTGAGAACTGCAGCGTTTTGACTTTTATCACTGATGGTAGGCAGCATGAAACAACTTTGGATTAGATTTTAAGAAACTCCAGAGTGCCCAGTTAAGTAACGTTTTAAAATTAGGATTATTGTTCTAACTACAGTGATGGGAAAGAACAGGTGTAGCTGGGGGCAGCAAGGTGGATTTTCCATAAGCTATTTGGAAGATCTGTTGTAAAGACTGCTGGTAGCAGTATTCTCGTCTACCACATCAAACGCTTTTGCTTGGGGAGAAAGCACTTGAAATATGGCTGCAGACAGGGAACAAAAACAAAGCACGGTCCACTGTGGGTTTTTTTTTTTTTTTTTTTTTTTTTTTGGGCAACAGTTCTGCAAACGATTGTCTCGGTGTAGTGTAAATGGAACCCTTAGTGAGCAGAGAGGGGGGAGACCTGCCGATGGCACTGACTGGCGGCGGGAGATCTTTCCGTGGAAGCCGCGCACCCTGCAAACCCCCTGGGGCTGAGTGCTGATGTGGTGCAGCTGTTGCAGGCAGTGCTACTTCACATCTCAAAGGTCATAGGGAAGCATAATACAACAAGCTTTATTCCCCTTGAAAAGCAGGTGTTGTTTTTTCTTCCTTTGGTCTTACTGAGTAAACGTCATCGCGGACGGAAAAAGGTCCTTCCTTCCCTTTCGCGGCATCGATCTCTGCCTGCAGGCGGCCCCACGCCGAGCGGCTGCCAGCGCGAGCTCTGTCACCTCACGCAGCTGCTCGTGGCGTCGGTTCCCAACCGCCACGTTCTGGGCGCGCGCAGCTCGAGACGCCCGGCGTCGCCTCCGTCCCCGGCCCGCGCCGCGCGGGGCTCGCGGCAGGCGCGCGCTCGCGGAGCCGCCTGTCCTTTCGCGCGACCCGTCGCGAGCTGCCGGCGGCTCCGCCCCTCGCGGCCGGTACATAAGGAGGTGCGCCGAGCTGCTTCCTGACCGCGCACAGCCGCCGCCGCCGCCGGGAGGAGTGAGATGGCGTCCACGAGCCGGTAAGGGAGGCCCGGCGCTCCACCGGGGCTCGCGCGGAGGAGTTCACCCCCAGGAGCGGGCGGCGCGGCTTCCTCCATCTCTCCCCGTCCGCGGCCCGGCAGAGAAAATGGCCGCGTCGGCCTCCGCTGCCGCCCGGGGAGGAACCGGCGGCCATCGCCGCTCCTACCCGGCCCCGGCTCGGCGCCGCCCCCTGCCTCGGCTCGCCGTTCCTCCCCGGCTTCTTGGGACCGTAAGCCGTCCCGCGGCAGGGGCCTCCTGGGCTTCTCCGTGTGGGCCGCGGCGGCCGGCTGCTGTGGGTTGGAGCCCCGAGCTCGGTGCCGCTCCCCGAGCGGGGCCGGGCGTCTGTCTGCATCGCTTAATTAAATCCTGGGTAGAAAAAAATGGTTGTCGTGTGGTCATTTGTGAAAGAGAGATCTGCAGCAACGCGCTACGAGTGTTTTCTTTGGAGCTTCTCGTTTGATTTTTTTTTTTTTTTTTTCCCTCCCTCCTTTCGCTCCGCATGTCGCTGGCCTTTTGCGTAACGCCGAATGTCAGCTGGGCGCCCTGCTTGCTTTGTCAACACTTGTGTCTGCCACGTGAAGCCGCTGGGCGAGGGAGGAAGGGCCGGGAGGGAGCGCGTGTGTCTGATATCCAACGTGGTTTGCATCCGAAGGTCGTGCGTGAGCGTGTTCTGCACGGGGGTTGTGGAGGTTAACGCTGCCGGTGAATCTTAATCTGCGTTCTGAATCGTAGAGGTTCTTCTGAACAGCCGTCGGTTTAGAATGTTACGTTTATTTTCCTTAGACGCATCAGGTGTATCCAAAACATGAAGATTGAGCTGGGACTGTGTAGATTAAGCTGCAGTGACAGGCTGGTGGGAAAGGAGGAAACTCGGATGAATTCAACTCCTATAAAGGCTCGCTTCCTGTTTGAAGGACTAGCAGGTGTTTTTGGTGCCGTCACATTTAGGCTGAGAAGTGCTTGCAGCGTTTTATTTTGCTGTGATCAGCTGCCATACCTGCTGCTTTTTTAGCTCGATTAAATGGCTCTGTTGAATATAAAACTTTGAATAGTAAGCGGAAACAATTCTAGCCTTGAAACAAAGTTGTTTTAGTGGAGTTACTGGGCATTCACTGTTAGTTTAAATGAGGTATTTACTGTTACAACGTTTGGTTAGAAGCAATTGGTTGTTGCTGTGCTTTGGTGCTGTTGTATGTGTGCACATGTTAAACAACAACAAGGCTTTATTGGAAGCTTTTTGTAGCTGCTGAAGATATATGGTGTACAAGAGATGGTTTCCAGTCCTCAGAAGCAGTTGTTGCCCGATCCCTCTCATGAGCTGGTAGTTTCTCCATTACAATCTCACAACTAATGAATTGCTTAATTTAATGCTCTACTTTTAACCTAACTTAAGGATGGCATTTTTTTTCTAACCCTTGAAAAAAATGACAGAATTATATGTTCTCAAATAAATGTGTGCCCACTGCTTCCTGAATTGAGGACCTGATAAGTTATATTGGTTTGATAAGAATGAGTGGAAATGCCCATTAGCATGAAGTAATCACCTCTCTGTTCTTCAGGAACTTCAGTTAGTTGTAGACTGCAAGGTGGACTTCGCTTAATCTTGACTGCATTTAAGTTTTGGATGCTCTCGTTGGAAGCTTTCTATGTTTCTGTGATGAGATAAATTGCAAAAGTGTTGCAATTTAAGATATTCAGGTGTTTTAGGTTAATAATAAGTCCTTCAGATCACCGTAAATTATTCTTCTCAGCAGCGAACTCGTGCTTTGGGATGCACCCTCCTTGACTGAGATAATAACAATTTAATTCTTTTTTCTTTCTTTGTAGTTTGGATGCTCTTCCGAGGGTGACTTGCCCAAACCATCCAGATTCCATTTTAGTGGAGGATTACAGAGCTGGGGATATGATTTGTTCAGAGTGTGGGCTAGTAGTAGGTAAGTGGATTTCATATCACTGTGAATTACTATGTAACCTTCATTATGCATATAGATCTGTGTGGGTTTTTTGTTCTTTTTTTTTTTTCTTTTTTTTCTCCACAACATGGGAATGTAATTTGAGCCTTTAGTTTTTTGTCTTGATACCTAAATGTTTTGTTACAAGACAATCTCTTTGCTAAACACTATTTTTAATAGCCTTTCTTCTGGAAACTTCTTGTGGAAAATTGGAAAAAACAAACAAACATGTTTTAAAGATTGAAATCTTGAAATATTTTGCTATATTGAATTAGAATATTATGTCACCTAGTCCAGTATTCTGTCTTTAACTATGACTGTTATTTTGTTATTCCAGTTAGTAAAATAAAAAAAAAATATTCTGCCTTATAAACAAATCCAGAGCAACTCTTGTTTCCCACTGGGTGGTGGTTATTTTCTGTCCTGAAGGATGATTCTCTGTATTCTTGCCAATACTTGCTTTTGTTAATTACTTCTCCTAAGTCTTTTAATACCACACAAAATTAATACCAGTTTTCTCCTGAATTTTTGCTGATCTCTTCTCCACTGTATGCATGGCAGCAACTTACAGAGGCTAAACTGTATTGATAATTATAATAGAGTATTTAAAATGGGAAAAAAAAGTTAAGAAAAAAATTCTTAGAATATTAATGCAGATTTTCATCAAGTTACATTTTCAAAATGTGTTTAAATTGAACTTAGTCTTCTTTAGAGCCAACATTACTGCTGGGGCAAAATGTTTTTTTTTTTTCTTTAAGCATGGTGTATTTTTTTAAGCAGGTTGTTGCATGGATTTATCACTAAAATATTCAAACATTTACTGTTGTGCCGATTGTTCTCA